CGTCCTGGAAGAATCGGCCTCCCTCTGGGACTCTCCCCTCACCCTCCGCTCCTGGTGCCATGGGTCGAGCCTCAGATTTGCCCCTCCTCCATCCACTTCTGTCTGGGAGCCAACCAACCACAGATGGGCACCCTTAGCCAAAGTAGACCTCTCCGCCTTTAAATTGTGTGGGATGCTATGTCCCTGCACTGAGCAAGCGAGAAAGAAAGGAGCTTCTTTATGTGAAGCTTAAATCTGCCCTTTTGTAATTCACCTACTGGCTCGGGGACTCTGTGTGAATCATCTTGCTTCCCCCGTTTGGCCTTCTTCACGAATACCACCCTAAAGCAATCAGTAAATTGACACTCAGAATGTTCTAAAAGTTTAATTTAGTCACACTTGTTCAGGCCAGGACTCCTCAGCTACATGAGGATTGCGGCTTTAATGTTTAATCTCTCATCATATTAGGATTTGCTGAGTCCAGCACTCAGCCTTCCTGCCAACCCAGGTTGGCCTTGCTTTGTAGAAAACGGACAGAAGATGCTACACATGAATCAAACTACCAGTGTTTTTAAAATGAATGCATGCTCTCATAAAAACAGCAATGGAAAGACTGGCACAGCTGCCCCAGAGAAGGTGGCTGGAGCTTGAGGCTGAATTGGGAGCCTTGGGAATCTTGAGCCTGCAAAGCATTTGCAACCAGAAGGAATGGAAAATGGCAGCCCTTCCGGTCTTGACCTGTAGTACCTTCTGCAAAAGTCCTTTCCAGGGGCCTAAGGCATGGAGGTAGTTCTAAGGCCCAGTCTGTGTGGACAAGGCCACAGGCATTTTTCTGAAAGGACATTTTCCCTTTTCAGTGCAATGACTGTGCCTCTAAATAGTAGACCAACATAGATCAGGGGCTAACCAACAAACTTGGATCATCCAGCTAATTAGGTGAACAGGGAAAGAAACTACCATCTTCGCTCCAGGAGCTCCCATCCAGTGGGAGAAGGAGCAGCACCCTTCTCGCCTAGGAATATGAAGACAAACATGGGCATCACCCCAACCTCTAGAACAATGTCCTCCTCCCTAGAAATCGTGAAATATAAGATCACCAAAATGTGTAACTCATGAGTACATGAAAGCATTACTTTTCAAGGAGTTGATACTCATAAATGTACAGTATTTTCAAACCTATTGAGTGACTACCCTGAGAGCAAAAAGGAGTAAGAAAAACAATGCCATAAATATATTGCTAAGATGAATAATATCCACAAGAAGGAAAATGGGAAGAGGGATGGTTGTAATCAGTGATTGCAAGGAGAACGATCACATTCAGGATACATAACCTACAGTATTATTTATAATGGTCACCCGAGGAGTCAAATACAAAGAAAGTGCAGGAAATCTGTCTGCAACACTAATGACAGAAAATCCAGGTGAGGGCCTGGATCCCATGGCAATAGCCTGCATGAACTCAGCTGAAAACCTAGAGCCCAGCCGATGACTCATGCAAGTCTGTTTTATGGATCTGTGCTGGGAAGACCCCAGGATCAGCAATGGAAGCTGAAAAGTCTGTGCCAGCAGGTGAAGGGTCTGTGCCAGTGGGCTTCAGGTTCTGCACTGGAGCTAAGAAGCAACACTCAAAGTAATGACCAGAGATCCCCAGAAAAGTACCACTGCTACCCTCAGTAACAATGAGGTCCTGAACTCCTCCATCGATGAGAACAGCTGAGTTCATAGCAGGAAGCCAGCGTGACATGCTCCTCCTGGAGACTGAGCAGCACACCTCTTCCCCTCCGGATCCAGGAAGCAGTGCTCAAAGTATGGATCAAAGTTTCCTCAAAGTGAATCACAGCCATCCTCAGTGACAAGGTCCCGAGCTCCTCCTATGATAATAGCCAGGTTCATATCAAGGAAGCCAGCACAAGTTCCTCCAGGAGAAGTAACAACTCCAAACAACCTTACTTAGGAGAATCCACAACGCTACTCTTTCTCCCCAGATCTCCTTTTTATGCTGGCAGCTTTCCTCAGGTGGGCCAGCTATACTCAGTACCATGCTGATTCCACTCAGCTGATGTTTAAGTTGACCGCCGGTTACCAATCCACAACAGGCGGCTTACAGGAGAAAAGAGGAAAAGGAAAAGGAAGAGGATTTTTTTTTAAAAGTTGTATTATGTACATGTACCTATTCCCACAAGACTGAATTACATGTACTGCAAACATGCACTAAATAAATAAATACCAAAAATGCACACAAAAAAGAGAAATCAAGTGTGAAAATGAAGCTTTTTCAAAATTAAAACAAAAATGACAAAATGAGGCAAGAGTTGGACCTTTCAAGAGCCAGTCACAATATACCACAAGTTGTCCAGTGTTCACTCTGTTGAGAAAAAAGAATGAGAATCCAAACACAAAATTAACTTTTGTTGTTAACACATTTATCACATATGTACCTACAGGTCCACCACCAGGTGAGGCACTGGGGGTCACAGCTGAATAAACACCTGGACCTTTTAGGTCTATTTATATTTAAAATGCATTAAAATGGAAGACATGGTGACTAATTCCTCTTAGAATATTCCTCTTGCTTCAGATACTCCTACCCCATCGTTCTTGCTGCTTCCCGAAGCAGTTCTGAGTCCTCTTTCCTGAGTGTCTTTTCACGGCTACCTCAATGTCCCGAGTTGTCTCAAAATGTCTGTGGCGATTCTTGTCAAATAGAAACATTGCATTGTAATCTCATCCATCTTGTTCACACACTGCGATTTCCGCCTCTTCTCCAAAGACAAAATCACCGTGAAAGGTAAACAGCTTGAACTGATTCAGGACACGAAGACAACCACGAAGAGACTCAGGAGAGAGGACTTCCAGGATTGCTTCAGAGAGTGCCGAGAATTGTGAAGTAGGCGTGGGGGGTATTTTGAAGGGATTTAACAGCAATGTGTCTTTGACTCCAATAATTTTTGTAATTTAAATATTGGCCATATTTTTAGCTCACAATTCATGTGCTGCAATTTGCTACACTCCCCCTACAAATCACCACATCAGCTTCTCAGCAACCTTTGCACTGCAATTTTCACATCAGCTGCCAGCACTGAGGAAGTGGCTTTTCTTTTCTTTACTTGGGAGAGGAATGAATAATAAAACACATTTGGTAGAATGATAAATATTTGCACTTGTTTTGACCATGCAAGTGAGACCACTAAGAAATAAAACCAGAAATTGGCCCTCAAGGAAACATGTTTGCAACGTTTGATTTCTAAAATTTGATATCTAAAATAATTAAAGCAATGTTTCCAGTCTTCATAGTGATTGATTTCTCAAAACTTTGTAACAATATATACCAGATCAGAGCTGACCCATATTTTGATAATCAAATCGAAAGCAAAGGACACTTCTGAAATCCTGTGGTTTTGAAGTGACTCACATTGTGGAAGAAACAAGTGGACTTCAATTCTTGAAGATTTGCTAAAACTTGTTTTTCATAAATACAATTTTTAAAAGTGTTGCCAGCATATAATCCCTGTCTATATTTACGGAACACACTGTGATAACCTGATATATGTGTACAGTGCATAATGATCAGAACAAGGCAATTGGTTCTTCCATGCCCTTAAACACATTTCTTTACACTAGGAATCTTCAAATGCTCCCCTTGTAGCTCTTTGTGAAATATATAAAAAATCATAAGATAGTCACCTTTTTGTGCTATGGACCACCAGGACTTATCCCTCCGTGTAACGGTGTTGGTACTCACCATCCAACCTTTGTTCCTTCTCCTTTCAACACTTCTGGCATTATTTTTACTATAGTTGTTTGTTTTGTTTTGTTTTTTCTGGTACTGGGAGTTGAACTCGGGACCTCACGCTTGCCAGGGAGGCCATACACCACTGAGCTAAATCCCTGGCCCACTGCTGGTGTTACTTTCTTCCATACACAGACTGTCAGCATCCTGAGACTCGCTTTTACTTTCTTCCTAATGATGGTCATGTGGGAGTGAAATGTGTACAATGCCTAAAAATTTAATTGTAATTTACATGCTGAAAGTACACCGGATGCAAAAAACAATCTTGGCTCCTTGACAAGGTCTCAATTAGTACAAAACTCGTGTTTTCAGTGGCTGTTGAAATTTTCCTTTGAGTGACAGTTAGGAGGCAGTGAACAGTCCCTGAAGGAAAAATAAGTTGAAATCTTTTAAAGCCAGTTCATCTTTTTGACAAAAATGAGCTTTGTGGAAGCAAATGCTCACCCAAGTGATCTGTGGTCCAACCCCTCAGCCCCTCTCCGGGGCACTGTTCTCTTCTTTAATAACTTCTGTTCCACAGGACTCTGTTCAAACCATGCTGGTTTCCAACCCGCTGCCACTGTGCAGGGAGGGGCCTCTCTTCAAACTTAGCTCCAGACCCTCCCTGACGGTGACTCAGAGGCAGGGGTCATCAGCCCAACCCTTTCCCACAGGACAGTGGGGCGCATTTCTTTGGGATTTGTCCTATAAGTTAAATTTTTATTGCATTTACTACATGCAATATCTGCCCTCTGTGCATTTTCCCTGGCAAGTAAAAGCCCCTTGAAAATAATTCCAAAACTCTGTATGGCTTTATGTCTTTTATGTCTCCGCTCCTCAGCAAGAGTGAGCAAACACAGACAACCACATTCTCAGGAAGGGCAGGAAAGCCGCGTTTTGCCGTTCCTTCCTCACCCCACTGTATGCAGTCAGCTCTCCACATCCAGTGCATTGTGCTACCTGCGATCCACTCCTTAGTAACACGCTGAGGATATATCTGGGTGGAAAACAGCTAAGAGAAATTTAGATAATGAAATTTGTATAATTTTTTTAACTTACGTTGGCTGCTTGTACCCTCAACCATTACAACTAATTCCAGAAACTCAGCTACGTTGTGAGCAGAAATCTTTGGCACTGCTCCTCACTGAAATAGGTTAGTTTGTAGATTGAAGCCTGTTTTTTTCTATGAGGGGGCAACACACTACGCACAGATCTTCCTCTAAGAAAGAAGAGCAAAGCTTCCCTGAAATAATTCTTTTTTTTTTTTTTTTTTTGCAGTTTTTGTGATTTTATTTAAGCACAAATAAACACACGAGCCATCTACTCGTTTTCTTTGCTGCGCAGCCTGGCATTGGGGTTGGTGACTCGGATGGCTAGCTGGGCTGCTCGTTCCACAATGGCCTTGCGGTTCTTGGAGGAGACATTGTGAGCAATCTCTGCACAGTAAGATTTGTTGCACATCAGCAGCACCTCCAGCTCCTTAACATTGTGCACCAGGAACTTCCAGAAGCCACTGGGCAGCATGTGCTTTGTCTTTTTGTTGCTTCCATAACCTATGTTGGGCATCAAGATCTGGCCCTTGAACCTTCTCCGCACCCTGTTGTCGATGCCTCTAGGTTTCCGCCAGTTGCGCTTAATTTTGACATATCGGTCTGACTGGTGACGGATGAACTTCTTTGTCCTCTTTTTGACGATCTTGGGCTTCACAAGGGGTCTGAGGGCCGCCGTGGTGCCTTGCTTTGGGATTACACAGAAAATCTGGCTCCCTGAAATAATTCTGTAAAGCCTCTGTAAATGGTTTCCACACCGGGAGGTGCAGCTCCTATTACTGTAGATTTGTGTCTCTCTTGATTGTTTTTTCTGCATATCTTGCTGTGTAAACACCAAGCCAGGCTGCAGAGAAGCATCAGTCCCTACAACCTCAGCTACATGAAGCTAAGTAGCTACGTGACGCTTGGGTAGCACCATCAGTGTCACTTACAAGGCTCACACAGCACTGTTGGGTTCACACAGTGCACAGAGGTAACTGCTGTGCCCAGTGGCATGGCTCTAGCTGCAGTGCCCTGGAATGTTGTACGTAGCTGGTTCCTCTAGCCTGGATGGATCCAGGTTCTCACACCTCCATGTACCTGTGATCACAACTGTACCCGTGAGTGCAGGTGAACTTGGGGTACAGTTAGTGCTTGGAGACTTGGGCTGTTCTCCCACTGCACAGAATTCACGCCTTAGTTCCTACACCAGGCAACCCACCATGCCATGGCTTCTCTTCCCAGCCTGTCCCTGTTCCCCTACCACAATGAGACCAGCCTGTGACTTCACCATTTCAAAACATCTTGTCTAACAGGTGTGATTTGCCTGTGAAGTTCTTACAGATTGAACCACATGCAATTGACCTACAAAAAATGACAATTCCATATGGTTCCAACCTAAAGAAAAGCTCTATTCAAATACTGCCTTCCCCCACGGTGAAATACACTCACAGAAAAGTCCACTATCAAGCTGTCCAGTACCACATTAATATCACATTTTTCACAATCAACAGTCAATCAAATATCCTTGTTTTTATTTATACTTCCATCATATGGAGATATAAATATGAATGTTTATGTCATGCAAAGACATGATTAGTATTCCAGATTCCATGTTTGAAATGAAAATGTCCCGGTCAGCTGTGGCTAATCCGCTCATCCGATTCCCTTTTTGACTGGGGCCGCCCATCTTCCATAGCGCCTTAGCAACGGTCTCAGAAGAGAGGCGGGAGGAAATGAGTATAAATCCAGCTCATTTTCCTGATAGTTCTGGTGACTTTTTATGATGAACAAAGCTGATATGAGGTTTAAAGATCAACCCAGTTCCTATATTCTCTTTCCTTAGAGAACATTGAATGCCAATTGCAGATAAAATGACAAAATAGATACCTACATTATCTTTAATAAATTTTTCCAGGACTTCCACAGTAATTTCTATCCAGTCAAATACAGTATTATGTGATTACATGACACCAGTCAATCCAAGCCAAGCAACAGAATCTTCTAAAGTATTTTTCTAAGGAAACCAGATAATGCTGTGAATCCTCAGGTGCGTTGGGTCACAAAATTAATGCCACATACTGAAAATATATGAAAGACTGAAGGCAGCTTGGGAAATAGGAAAAGCAACCATTACCCTAAAAAGAAACTCATAGTTACATTACACTTTTCTTCACATAGGGCTTCATAAATTGGTGAATTAAGATACAGTTCCATTACGTCCTAAAAAGATCATTTAACCTTCATGGAAAGTACTCATCTTACTTGGATTACAAGGAATTGCACACCTTTGAAGGGGTTTTTTTTTACTGAAGTTCTTCAATGCTTTAATTTCATAATTAAAAATAAAGCATTCTCTGCCTTGCTGGTTTTAAAATCATCTCTAGCATCTCGATGATGATTCTTGTAAGGTGATCATCTTCATTTGGTTTATAAATATTTTTGATTCTTCCCTACAACTAGAGACCTAACAATAAGATGAAAAGTTTCTCAGGATGGTGCCTATTTTCTAAGTTCCTTCTAGACACAAGAAATCTTGGGTGGACAATTATTTCACAGAATATTATGCCTCAAAGTTTACATCTTGAAGTTTTAAATTTGTAGTATCTTTATAATTTCATCACTTTGCTTCAAATTGAACTCAACTTTCACATGCTAGTCCTTAGCACCTTATATTTCTGTTTTCTTCGTCCTATTTTGAATTTTTCTCAAAATTTTGCAAATGGTAAACAACTTCAAAAGCCAAACAGCCTTTTAAGAAAATGAAAAGGCAGCTACAAAGAGGAAAATACTTGCAAACCGCATAATCCCAAAGACTATTATCCCAAAGTACGTGTATAGAAATCTCAAGCTCAAGAGTAAAAAATCCAGACAAACCGTAGCACATGAGCAGAAGTTATGAAGTAAATGTTCACAAAAGAAGTGACATACAAAGAAAGGTGTGGGTGGCAAATAAGTTCACAGAGAAATATTTAATATCAATAGTCACTGGAGAAATGCAAATTAAAACCACAGTGAGATATTACAATAGACTGGTGACAATCTCTGAGAAACGACATAGTGACAACCCCAAATTCTGGTAAAAATGCAGAGAAACTGGATCACACATACATTATTGGTGCAAATCTCAACTACCTCAGCTATTCTGGAAAACTGTGTGACAGTTTCTTTAAAAACTAAAAACTTCAGCCGCTATACAACTTGATATTCCAATCCTGGACATTTGTACCAGAGAAATGAGAACTTGTATTCATCAATCTCCAGTATACTAATGATTAAATAGCTTTATTCCTAAAAACCAACAAAAAAAAAACCCTCAAAATAACCTAACCTAAGTATTCTTCCAGGAGTGGATGGTTAAATAAATTGTAAATCTCCTGTACCACAAAATGCTACTTTGAATCAAAAGGAACAAACTATTAATACACACTGGATTAAACTCCAGAGATTTGTGCCACTTTTTTAAAAATCCACAATAGGCACAATGGCACATTCCTATAATCCCAAATACTCAGAAGGCTGAGACAGGAGGATTGCAAGCTTGAGGCTCAAATTAATTAACTAATTAATTAATTTTAAAAAACAGGGCCTATGGGTGTGGCTGAGTGGTAGAGGTCTTCCCCAGCATGTGCACAGCATCGGATTCCACCTCCTGCACTGAGAAGCAAAAAACATGGGAAGTTTTATGCAATACAATTCCATGTCTTCATCATCACTAGAGAACAAAGTTATACAAATGAAGAGCAAATTAGTGTTTGAAAGATATTAAGAAGGCGGTGGGGACAGGAGACCAGTGGCTGAGGTTCTAAGAAGGTATGGGAAGGCACCCACGTGTCCCGACTGTATCAGCATCAACAGCCCTTTGTCGTGTTGTTCCATAGTTTTGCAAGATGCATTACCACTGGCTGAAGGTTATACCTGGCCTCTCTGCACTGTTTGTTTCAACTGCAACTGAACCAAGACATTATCTCAAAATGAGGAGTTTAATTAAAAAAGAAAAAAATCAATGAGAAATGGAAACTGCAGGGTCAGCCCTGCCACTTCTTCATTATTGCTGTCTGGTATATCCGCGTGGGATATACCACTCTTCAAAGTGATAAAAATACCCACCGAGTTCCAGGCTCCGGTGCTTGCATTTGTAACGTGGGTGTTTTAAAATCGAGGCCATGCTAGGTCTCGGTGTGCATGTTACTCAGGTCTCTTGATGAAATACTGCATTCACACGGGCTCTTTCCAGCCCATGCACTTGATCACATTCTCGTAAGACAGAGACAGGGTTCATTTATCTGTGTTCTCTATTCAGCACCACAAACTGGGCTTTGGACAACCATAGTGAATTTCATAATTCCTCAGATGAAATTGCTAAAATCCTCTATATTTCTGTTCTCCTAGAAGTGGTTTTACAAGCAAAGCACAAAGGTTTAATAAGGGACCTAGTTGCAGTACTAAAAGGACGCCAGTAAGTCTAAGCTGAAACTTAAGTTCCCATTGCACCAATATCCAGGTAGTGGCACTGGCACAGCGCAACTCCAGCAGCACGGACATCGTGGACAGCAATGGGTACACATCTAGTCCAGCTGGGACCCAGACTGTCTCTGCCAGCTTGACAGTCCTGGGACTGCAGAACCTGGTGCAGTCACAGAAGAAAAACTTTGAGCTGAAGGGAACAAAGCTGATAAGCAAAGGTGATAAAGGGTTGCAGCCCAGCCTGGGAGACTCAGCAAGAGGCTGTTCAACATTTAAAAGGGGGCAGAGGGACTGAGGTGTAGCTCAGTGAAGTCAGCCTGGGTACCATCCCAATCCTGGGAAAAGAAGGAAGGAAGAAAGGCAGGAAGGGAGGAAGAGGAGAGGAGAGGAGAGGAGAGGAGAGGAGAGGAGAGGAGAGGAGAGGAGAGCAGAGGAGAGGAGAGGAGAGGAGAGGGGAGGGGAGGGGAGGGGAGGGGAGGGGAGGAGAGGAGAGGGGAGGGGAGGAGAGGAGAGGAGAGGGGAGGAGAGGAGAGGGGAGGGGAGGAGAGGAGAGGAGAGGGGAGGAGAGGAGAGAACAGGGAAGAGTAAGGGAGTGGAGGGGAGGAAGCGGGGGAGGGAAAAGGCTTCCAGGGAGACGAGAGTGACTGAAAGCTTGAGCCTTCTTCCCTGACCAAGCAGCTGACTGTACCGGGAGATGCCCCCCAAAGCCCTTTTCTCTCCCACCTGCACCATCTTTCAAGCTCCAGGAGACAGCAAAGAGCAGCCCAAACATCCTAAGAGAAAGACACGCAGGAAATGAAGGCAAGGTTGTGAGGTGACCCGAGGGCTCACCCTGCTTAAGGCCACAGGGCTCCATGACATTTGGGACACAACATTTCTAAGGTTCTGCAGCCCACAGTTCAAACCTGGAATCTGGGAAGTCAAAGGAAGTCCAATTACCCTGTGCTTGGGATCAGTGGCAGAGATGTGGCTGTCACAAGCAGGCTAGTGACCACAGGTTTGGAGCCCTGTTGAATGTAGTACTTAAACACCCACAAAGGCAAATAAAATAAAATAAAATTGAAACTCTATCTGCATTATTTAGCTTTCTTGGAAAAGTAGGAAAATATCTCTGCATCAAGTATACACAGTCTAAAAGAAGAATTGCACAAAAGATGCAGAGAAAGCTCTCAAAATGTGTAAAACCACCTGGACTGATTATAATAGTGGAGAGGGGTTTCGTGTAATACCTAAGGCGCAGGTCCCTGTGTTCTGAATTGAGATGTAGCTAGGATGTCATCAGCAGTTTTAACCCACCTCTCCCCTCCCCCATTTAAAGAAAAAACAATTTAATCAAAGAAATAAATGTAAATGGAGGAGTTTCAAAATGGAAATCAAGTTTTCTCA